GATATTACACAGGTATCACTCTATTCTTCAGGGGCAGGAAAACCACTTCTAGCTCAAGAGCAACATTTGAATCAGGGTGGGAGAATTTTTCATGCTTTTCATGGAAATATTTCCATACACCTTTACGACGTTCACTTGACACCCCATGTTCAAACCCTTTGAGACTGGAGTGAGAAAATTTAAGTGCCTGCATTGGAAATGCTTGTACACGTACTTGAACATGTATTTTCTCACTGCTAACATAGACTTTTATAATGTGTAATTGATTTCTGGAGGCTGATTAGTCAACAAGGAGAATAATTGGTGAACTTTGAAATGGAATTCTTCCCAATCTTGTTTTTGGGGGGGTGGCAGGGAGAGCACTCCATCACAACTTGTGCAAAATTAATGGGAAATTTGAAAAGAAACAGAGTCTACCTACAGTAATTCAATCATTTAATACTTGTGCAAGTAGTAACCAAATAATGAATAAATCAGGGTTTTCCTCTTTCCACATGTGCTTTTAATCTCTAATGTGGGAAATAAAAGAATTTCCTGTGAAAGCAAAATCCATTTCAGTCACATCCAGGTTATGATAAGCAGTTCAAAAACAAAACTTGCGCTCCAGTCCTGGGTGTAACCAGACAATTTCAAGACAGGTGCAGTAACAATCCATTGTGAAAATTTTGGAATGCTAAATGCAGTTTAATGAAAATACAGGTACTTTTAACAATTCTGTTGATGGCAATAGGCCAACAAATCCAAGTTGAATAATGAAAGACCCTTGTTGAATACACGTACAAGGATTGTTCATTCGCATAAAACTGACAAGGTTTGAGAAAACATGTCTTAAGTGAAGTTTGAAGATCACAAATATTTAGGCATTAACTTTATCATTTATCCCGAAAAATAACATTATTTATCCCGAGAAAGGAGGAACAGTTCAAGCATTCATGTGTTGCAATCAAGAGGTGGGTACCGGTGACCCTTGTACTGGCCTTCAGCATTTGAGTACGTTAGCCTGACCTTTTCGATGACACATGATGGGAGCGGGACTCTATTGTGACGTCCAATATAACCCCAACACCATCACATCACCCGACAGTTGGCCACATGACGATACTTTCTGTAAATTGGGAGACATGTTCTAAATAAAAAAGATGAGACTACTGACACTTGTTGTCAAGGACACTCACAATAAACAGGAAGGGTGTGTATAAGGTATCTGTTTACAATAAAAAGTTGTGAACAGCCTGAATATGAACGTGTATTTGTGCAAGACTTTCATGTTATTTGCTTGAAACATAAACAAGGTTTACGTACTGATCAATTGTCTAGCCTGCCGTCGCTGAGCAGCTGCATGGTTTCATCCCCGGTAGAGATTGCTCCTCTAACCTGACCTCATTGTTGCAAGATGCCTACCATGCTGTTGAACAGAGGCAGCAGCTGGGCGTTACCTACACTGATTTCACAAAGGCCTTTGACCGAGTTAATCAGGATTTTCTTCTGTGCAAGCTTTCTTACAACAACATTCACCCAGGTATTCTTTCTTTGTTACGTGGTTATCTAAGTGGAAGAAAACACAGAGTTGTTCTTGATGGCTACTGCTCTAGCTGGAACACAGCGCCCTCTGGTGTTCCCAAAGGCTCAGCGCTAGGACCGACTTTGTTCACTTTCTTTGTAAATGACATACCTCAGTTCCTAAATAACAAGTGTTTACTTTTTGCTGATGACTTGAAGGTTTTTGGTAAGGTTGGCTGTCCTGCTGATGCAATTTCACTGCAAGAGGACTTGAATACGATCGTCAACTGGTCTGAAACCTGGAAACTATCTCTTAATGCAAGTAAATGTAGTGTTTTGTCATTGTCACTTAAAAAGAAACCAGTCAGTGTGACCTACACTATTGGTGACAATGTACTTAAGAGGGTTACACGCCAGAAGGATTTCGAAATCTTAATTGATGATAAGCTGACCTTTATCCCCCACGTTGATTCAGTAATTAAAAAGGCTAATCGTGTATGTGGCTTAATTTGGCGTAATTTCCATTCCCTAAAAAATGAACATGTTCTTTGTACTCTATATTGCTCATTAGTTAGACCTCATCTTGAATATTGTACAGTTGTGTTTAGTTCTATGTGCATACCAGGCTCACAGGATTGAGAGAATTCAGTATTGCTATCTTAACTTTATGTATAGGAACTTGACTACTGATAATGCTAATCATGTCCATCCCGAATATCCCGATCTATGTGACCTGTACAGACTTCCTACACTAAAACTCAGAAGAGATGTCAATCATTGTCTGTTTTTGTATTTAAACACTTTCACAACTTTTTCTCTACTACAGATGCCAACCCTTTCTCCTTGCACGCTCCAGTTCTCCGGACAAGGCATGCACACAAACACATCCTCCATGTCACATGGAATCCCATTGAAGTGATGAAGCATGGCTTCATCTGAAGAACTTCCTCCACCTACAATGGGCTCCATGGGAAATGTGATGTGTTTGGTGCACCTTCCCTTACTTCTTTTCACAAACAAGTTTACCATGCTCTCTTAGGTTGAATTCTATCAGTACATGTACATTTACATCCTTATGGTTTCTTTTCTCACCGTCTCACTGTGTATACTCTGTTCAGTCAGTTACCAGTCTCAATGTTTTTTTTTGTGTTTTTTCTCGTGGGTTATAGTTGTTTTTGTAAACGTTGCTTTTCATATTCAAGTGTGTGCTATTTCATTTTTGAATGCTTACAATCAAGTGTGTACTTTGTTTTTATTGTGATTTAGTTCCTTTTTTTTCTATTTTATCTTCATCTACATATCTATTTTTTAGTCTGTCTGATTGTTGATTATATATGTACATATGTATATATTATTTTATTCTTGTTTTGTTTTGAATAATGTTTAAATGTACAGATTTAGAATGTTATATATATTATGTTTATCCCATTCCTGTAACTGGCGATCCCTCCGCTGTTGGCTGTGGTAAATAAATAAATAAATAAATAAATGGTTCTTTTGACTGCTCTTGTGTGATCTGTATTGACGGCATGCTGTTTCCAAGGTGGCAGGGTTCAGACAGCATGCATCAAACCACTCATGTGACGGGATGCACTCCAAAGGATCTTTATCTCCTATGGAAGACATCTTCTCTCGCATTTTGGAGACTTCTTAACAGCATTTACTGTTAGCAAGGACTGGTTATAGAACACATAGGACACAGGAACACGTATACATTTCACATAGATATATAAAGAAAATATCCAATCACATTATGATAGCATGAGAACATGTCACAATATGACCCACATGTGCACTCATGTGGGTATGTCCAAAAAAACTTTATACAAATGTACATGTATGTTACGTGCTGCCATGACTCCAATTCATCCATAGGCCTATTCTCTTTTTGCTGGAAAGTCCATGAAATTGTATAATGTTGGAAAATGCACAATTCCAAGCTAAAACAGCCGATCCAACAAAGATAGGAATGAAGGCCCATGTATGTGACTTACACTGCAAGTCGTCCATGAGAATGTGCATACAGGCACTATGTAAACAACCCACGGAACCCTGGAGGTTAGCATTTTAGTAAGAGTACTAGTAGAAGTAGATGGCGTGGTGAATTCAAAAGATTGTATTGATTACCCCATCAACCTGCCACCAGAATTCATCACAGATTCCTACTACCTGGTCCACGACTTTGAACACTGTTTTGCATTTTGTTACTCATCAATCATTAGAATAAAAACAACACGTGACAGTACATGTACATTGCAACAAAAACCCTACCATTACCAATCAATTGTCTGAAGGCGAACACGGTTTTCCTCTGCTAGTTCGTTGATGTCCGGATTTCCACCGGAATCATCAGCATGTTGACCCAGGGCTTCAACAATGGCTCGAATTGGTAGGGCTCCACTCCTTTGACTACTTGCACGGCAAGCTCAGCGGAGAATTTCGTTGACCGCCTCAGGCAACAAACTCGGATCAGAATCCGAAGTGCGATTGTCATCACTAGATACTATGGATAAACTATCTTCACTTCTGATATCGGATCAACAATCGTCACTATCCATTGTTAACAAACCAAAATTTTTATGGTAGGCCTACATACATGTACACTTGAACTCTGCGAAAACACTGCAATAAAGCCACGTTCGCTGAACAACGCATGTACAAGCCATGACGTCGCAGGTAAATGTGTAGGCCCCTAATGCATGTGAATGCAAATGAGGGACGTGATTTACCAGGTTTTTCGACACATGCTCGTTGGCTGCACTAAAAACTTGAATTTTTCGCGGGGTTATTTTTTAATACAGAGGACACAGTACCATATCTTTAGAAGTAGGCCCTAAGCCTCAATTACGGATTTTCCAACCTCGTAGGACTAGGGTTTTAACCCTAACAGTCCTCAGTCCTCCAACAGGTAAAAAATTGACATGATTGCCCTGAGACTACTAGTACTAACAGTAAAAGAAACCATGAAGGTAGAAATAGGCCCAACAACGGTTAATGCTTACCTAGTTGCTTACAGGTTTTAACAAAGCAATTTTCTCCAAGATTTGGAAACTCCATGATGATCTGTGATGTTTGCACAGCCTTATTCAGTCGTTACGTCGACGTAGCTAGCCTAGGCCGGCCCTGTTTGCCTGTATTATGACGTTACAGTCACTGGAGATTTGGTGGTATGCAGCAAAGTGAACTGCGTATATCCGCGCTGCTGACCAAAGATTGTATACGCCGCTGCGCGGCGCTATACAATCTTTGCTGCTGACCGGGTGTTGGTCACCTCGCCCCATTTCCACTTCGCCCCGTGCCATTTCGCCCCATTTCCACTTCGCCCCATTGATTATCCCGCATTCTGTTCTTCAGGAACGGAGGCGTAGGCCCAGATACAAGAAGTAAAAACATCGATGTTTGAGTACCCAAATAACGATCGGAGAATCCAACTTTCAAAGGCAAATCAATGCTTCCGATTTCCAGACCGCCGGACTCAAATTTTTATTGGCAAGTTTGAAAAAAAAAGTTTTCTTCGTGTTTCGTTGACGCTGTGGTAAAAACACGTGCGCAAAGCGCTGGTTCCAGCCGCACCCGGGCCGCGTACGTGATCCGTCACCGGCGCATCGACAAAAAAAATCGATGTTTGCAAGATTTCTTCACGTTAAGTCTTAGTATTTTGTTCGTGTGTCTATTTTCTGTGTTCATCAGTTAAATGTTTGGTTGTTTTGCTCGTACTTGAAACGAGCATGTTTCCACAAAATTTCCTGCGAAATGTATTACGAAATACAAGATTGGTCTCCACACCCTTGAGAAGGTGAGACATGATCCCTACCAAGGTGTTGAACTTCGCGGTGATTTGAAATGGTCAACACATATCAATCAGACTATTGCCAAGGCTAATAAAATGCTGGGTTTGTTGAAGAGGAATTTATACTACTGCAACAAAAGCACTAAGTCTATAGCCTACAAATCGCCGATCAGACCCAAACTTGAATACTACTCTGGGATTCACAACACAATTCGGAGGGGAACAAGTTAGAAAGAATTCAGAAGAGAGCTGCCCGGTTTGTTGCTGAAGATTACAGCAGTGAATGGTATTACCAAAATCCTTGCTGACTTAGAGTGGGAATCGCTCCATGACTGAAGAACTAAATTGTGCCTAACGATTATCTATAAAGAGACTCATGGGTTAATTCCAAGCAACATCGAAAATTTCCTTCAGTCATCAAATTCATCCACTGTAACTTAAACCAAATACTAGGCTGTCAGGGCCTTCAAATATAACAGCATCCCGGCAAATAAAGACTGTTATAGGCACTCGCTGTATCCAAAATCTATTCGTAATTGGAATCACCTCGACCAAGACCTACGCATCGCCCCCGACGTCAAGACTTTTAAAGCCAAGTTAGAAACCGTTAATATCAAGACGCTAGCTTGAAAGGCCCACTTCAACATTTAGTCACGACTTTTCACATACCCCCTCCCCCTGGGTGTGGACAGTTACTATTAAATAAACTTCATGCAGTGGTATTGTTGCCAACATTTTCACAAGCTTGATTGCCCCAACCTCGTTTTTTTCTTTTAGTTGTATTTATAAATTTACGAACCGTGATCACAGAAGTTTATGAACATTATAAAGCCAACTTTATTAGTTCTTTATCCATTATGTTGTATACCGGTACATTATGCTTCAACGAAAGCTGTTTTCTTTGAAGAATTTGCTCACTTCGGAAAGGGTTACAGTTTGCGACAATGATCTAAGCTTGATAACTGTCTTTCGTGTTTTGAGTTCAGCTGAGAAAGACCCATAGCAGATCAATGGGCATAATTGTTTGAAAATGTCATTAATTTGCCATGGACGACTGGCATTACTGATGTAATAATTTTGATGCCGAGCTCGTAAATGGCTCTATATTTATTCCTATATCAACAGCACTCACATTCCTTGATCAAGATCTAAGACGACGAAAAAGAGGTTGGAACCATTTGACACTTCATTTGAGATTCAAGGACTCGTTGCAAGGGAACATTTTATTTAGTCAAGGAGAACGCCAAAGACGAGCAATTTCGCTGACAGCCATTCTTACTTCATTGTTAGGAGGTAATTCCTTCCGGAACGATAGCAGCGTTGCAGAGTCAGACGTTGCACAATGTAGAAATGCTGTAAAATCAAGATGTATACGCCTTCTTTCATTTTCAAATGTGCCAGCAGATAGAGACTTTAATAGCGACCACGACACAGGCCTATGAATGATAGACCAGCCGAAAATTACACTACGCCTAATAATACAGGCCCTACAAAACGAGCAAGAATAACAAGGTATAAATGAAACTGATCTGCAAGCAAGAGCAACTGATGATAACCCCCGGATAGGAGAAGCACGTGATGGTGAGCAGCCAGCAAGAGAACTCCCCGACAACAATCCCCTGCTTGCAGAAATAGAACATAATCCAGCCATTCTTGACAGCTACAGAGTCCAAGTTGAAAATGGTGCAGTACCACATCCTATCAGAAAGCGAGGCGCAGGGAGGAAAAGTTCCAAGTCATTGCATAAGACAGTTACCGAAAAAAGACGTATCAACCCCGATGCCCGAAACTCTGATTGCTGATCCAAAGAAATTGCCCAAAGATTACGGCAACAGAGGAAGAGTGCATGGGCATTGCATGTGACATTCATTTTGGTGAGAAAGAATTTTTTACTACTTATGGCTTTTTGTACAGAAAGGGGAAGCAAATGAAAACATGGCTGCTTGGAATGAGACATTCGCGACAGGCGACATAATTTCTATGTTGAAGGTAGTAGAATCGAGAGATGGATTTTCTCTGTATGATGACATTGTCCAGGTTAACTCTGCACGGCATTGCCATGTTACGGCTCACGAAATACTTCATATGCTTGACACGAAAAACCCAACGGAAATAATCGAGCATCTCCAACAACTATTGCCTGGTTTCTTTGCCCCTCGAAGACAAACTGCCACTGTGAACGCTAAGATGAATGCAGAGTTGGCTATTCTTCATCCTAAGCGAACAGCCATGGGTATGTCTATATCTCCACACGAGCTTTGACATTATCTTCTTTACCTCTACCACTGGTTGAGAGGACAAGAGTTTTGGCGTTTTTTGGGAGACGCCTGTAATATAGGCAGAGAAACAGAGGTAGTGTTGCATCTTGTTTCAACCTCATGTACTGATTGGAGGGTTGAGTATTGACCGGACACGCTACAACAATTCCTTGTCGCAAATGCTAAGCCTTTGAAACAACGCAGGATAATAGAAGCATGCATGTATATAAATGGAAAAAAAATGCCAAGGGATACCATTCGATATGCATTGATGAATTCAAACAATACTACTTAATAACTCCCCACTTGACTGATCGTGTTCATGTACTGTGGTATATTTGATAATAATTGAAAGGAAAAGAAGCGGATTTCGGCTCGATAATTTAAAACCCACAGTTTCTTTAATAGAAACCTTTATTTTGTGGAATGGGCTGTGTACAAACATATGGATAAAAGAAAAAATACTGAAATTGAAATTTCATTAAATACATTTCGATGGAACGTTGAATATCAGTACGCATGCAACAATTGAATTACAAGCTAAGATGTAAGAGACGTTGAAAAGAGAGCATAAATGAGTAATTATTTGCTGTCAGTGTTCAATGAGTTTGTCATTTAGCAATTCAAGTATGCATGGTCATCAAAAGAAGGGACTTTTAAGACCAATACAAATCAGGGATGTTAGCGCTAGCGCAACTATTGTTGGATAGTTTTTGCATGTCATTTGTATGAAATGTCACATTGTACCTCAAAATCTGAGAATTGCCTGTTTCGTGTATCTGTAGGATTGTTTCATTTATTTTGAATCTGAAAGATCACAAATAATTTAACAATGTTGACCGTGACCAAAAAATCAGCTGAACTGTATGTTAAACAAGTAGTTAACTTGAAGAAATCTATCATCGCCGTATCAATTTAAACTATGTTTAATTTTTAGTTTGGAAATGTAAATTCAATAAAAAACCTAATGCTTAAGGTGTTCACATTTGCTGTTCGATACTGATGTAGCAGGTACCGATTATTTTCAGTATTTGGCAAAGGTAAACTTTAAGTAAAATTTGTTAAATCGTTTTCCCAGTAACAGCATTAAAGTGCATGCTGTAATGCTTTCATTGGCAATTGCAACTACAGACATTTTGAAACCACCTTTTTTATCTAAGATGTTATAGCGGCGTCACCTTAAAATATCCTTTTTGTCAGAGGTATATTTAGTATATCTTCATGTGTAGAAATGAGTGTAACGTTAGAAATATTTGCGATGAAAAGGGTACTTCTAGCCTTTAGGTTCAATCGAATTGTCACCTCATATTAGACATGCGCTACATAAATAGAATGAAAATTCAAAAACTGTTTCTTTTGACAGAGTGTTTCATCAATAATAAGAAATTTCTTTCACTTAACTAGAATGTGTAACAATATGTAATATGCACTATATTAACCCTGCACCTTCTAGCCAACAGAGGGCGCTGTTCAGAAAGTACTTCGCACTTTTACTCTTTTGTGAAACATGGCTGCTTCCAGAAAGTTCTAAGTCAAGTGTGAAACTTGTGTGATTCTTTGTGCCATATACCCACGCGTGAAACATGGTGGCAGCGTCGGGTAAGCTTCCTGAACATTCATAGAAACGTCTGCTTCATCTGTTTTGTCTACTGTGGACAGCATTTCTGATGTAACTGGCAAGAATTTTGACTGTTTTTGCCGACCTAAGTGAGTTTCAATTTCAGTGCTTTGAGTCTGCATTGCACTGCATGTAAATGAATGTACTGTACTGCGTGGCACCTAACACATGAACATGTTAGACTGTGACATTCCCATGTGTTTTCTGCTGAATAATTGCCACCCCTCTCTCATTTCAACTCTGCTAAGTGACCATCCACCGTTCCAAAGTGTGATTTTGTGAAGTGTTTTGCTCATATTTTTGCCTAAGCCTACACCTTGAACTGAAACTGTAAAAATGCCAACCACTCCTGGAGCCACTAATATTGCTTCAAGCTCTAATGCCACAGAGCAGTATAAAAAGCCACACATCATTCCACCATCTCCATTTAACGCAAATGCTAAAGATGCAGCCGAAGAGTGGAAGATGTGGCGTCAAATGTGGGACAATTACTGTGTTCTTACAAACCTGGCAAGTCAGACTGAGCCTTACCAGACTGCACTACTACTCCATAGTATTGGCACAG